AAGTTTAGGTATAATGCGCGAGGTGCGACAGTGTCTATGGTTTACGTTAGGCTGAATGGTTGACCAGAGCAGAGAGTGTGTGGGCGCTCAGACTTGAGGCGTGCGTGATATCTTTTCCTTTTGATTCTTGTGAAAGCTGGTGTTGGTCGCCGACCATATTTTTACTCTTTTGATTACACTAGGATCCGCCTCGTGATTGGTACGTTTGCCTGTGACTTATGCGTACGTACAGAGGACGGCATCGACAACACTATGATTTTAAGGGCGTTTTGGTAAATCTGCACGTCGCACAGTATTTTATTACCTAGGTGTCCGTTAGGACTAGGCCCAACCTTGGGCCTAGTGCTAGTGGTTACAAGATCATACTTTCATCAAGGAGATTCAGGGATCAAGATTGAGCGGCGACAACACGGAATAACAGAGTAAACGCGACGACGCCGATGGGGTCGAGGGCCCGGAGGGGCTATCCCTCTTTGTTTTGCCGTCAGCGGAGCCGGAGGGGGTTCGCGGTCCCTTTTCCCCTGTCTATCGTCCTTGGATGATTATGAGTTTCTAAATATTTTTTATTTTCTTTATCGTTTTGTTATTATTTTGCTCCAAAGGTTTTTGGTATATACGAGGCCTTGGAATTAAAGGCCGTTGCGGCAGTCAAGGACCTTCAGCTAGCGTCTCCTTTGGTTGACCTACAAGTTCCTGTGCGTTCGGGATGCTGATGAAATTCATTTATCTCGCCGTCTGGAAAATACGGAGCACGGAGTTCAACGTGCTTGCGAGCTGGCGGGCGATTCGACCAACCACGCCAATAAAACTTCTGTGGCTGGGATTTTTGGCGGGTGCGCCGTCCGTCAACCGGTGACTGACGCAAAGGAGCTTTAGCTGAGAATACCCATCGGGGTCAGAGGAAGCGTGCTGCTATATCGAGGGTCTGACCGGCCTTTGGAACCCTCGAAACTACAACCTTTACAGTTCTCATTTGAGCATTTGCTACTACCACTAAGATCTTCAGCGGGACCAACTTCACCTAGGCCCACGCTGCCAGCTTCGCAGCGGGCCCAACCCCTTCCAACCCGTCATGACGTCTCGCCAGGGAGGCCGAGCATGAGCCGCATTCACGTTCGGGGCTGGTTGATTCGGCAGGTAAGTTGTTACACACTCCTTAGCAGATTTCGACTTCAATGACCACTGTCCGACTGTCCTTAATACCCACTGTAGTGTCTGGGATAGCGCACCGGGCGGCACCGACCGGCATCGAGGTGAAAGAAAGGAGTGAACCCGGACGTGAAGTTGCACCGAGTGCGTGCTTGGCAGCGGAGGACGCAGCGACGTTGAAGAAACAGGCATGGCAAAAGGAAAGATTCATAGCTCGCTCAACTCGAGGTAGATTTCGGCAGAGAGGGAGTCTACATGGGGGTTTTGAGGGCCGGTGTCGAGCGCATCGGTCCGGCACCGCACAGGGCAGCATGGGACCCTCCCGACCACGTCACGCAGGAGTTGGTCCAAATCCCCGTCGCGAATATACATGGAGCTTCCGCAAGCCGCTCCGGTCGAGTTCGCCAGCCATACCTCCCTCGAGCCCCTACGACAGGATAGGGCCTATGTGAGGCATGACTTACCTCCACCTTACGGGAGCTGTCACCTCCAGGGTTGTAGACCCCCGGGCCCGGGGCCCCGGCGGGGGTCCCGGGGGTTGGGGGTCGGCACCCCCGACCCCTGCTTCCAAAAAAAAAAAATAAAAAAAAATTGAGAAACAATTCGAAAAAATAAAATAAAATACTTGGGGGTGCGCATCGCCGCCTGGCATCCCCTGGCGATTTCTCGATTGTCGAGAAACAGGGGGTCCTCCCCC